TAGTAATCTTTGATTAACTGCGGTCAGTAATTATCTTAACTGCTCATCTCCCAGGTATATGCAACTTGTATATGACAGGTAAGTGATCAAAAGCACATTTTATCTTCAAATTGCAATCAAAGTAACTAAAAATATCCAGGAGAAACCATGATCATAAGTGATCCTTAATGCGCAATTCAAATGCCACTAATTGACAAGTGAGACAGATGTTGACAAGTCTTGCCAGGTAAGAAAAAGCACTTTTTGACTTTAAATCCTGCATTTTTGAATAATCTTTTTTTTTAAATAAATCTTTATTTGGGAAACAGTTCTTCTTTAGTTTTAAAATTCATAAATCAATTACTTGAGTATGCCACATGAAACCACTCAGTAGAAATGTTATAGCCAGGTAGCGATGCCTTTCCGTCCGTAATGCTAATTTTCCGTCCGTAATGATTTTTTAATTATGAAATTAATTTGTCTTCAAATATGTTAAAAAAATTTTTTTTGGATATTTGGTAAACATAGGACTAGTATGAGGAGAATATGAAAGGAAATTTATTTCTGCCAAGTAGTCTTTAAAAAAACTTTAAAAAAATAGAGCCCAAATCATTACGGACGGAAAAAATTACTTTGGATTAATGATTAATTAATTATTTTTTAAAGATTTTTTTTATGTGTTTACCCCAAGGACTTGCTGTAATTTATGTCTCAATTGAAAGATATTGATTAAAATTTATTTTGAGTGTTATATGCAAAAAATAAAAAATTCCGTCCGTAATGCTAATTTTCACATTTTTCAAGTTTAATGCGCTATAAAATTATGAATTCAAAAAATACAGATAAATCTTTTACAAATTCTTATCCCTTGAAGTCTCTTCTTTCAGAAAATGCAACTTTTGATTGATTTTTGTGCATTTGAAAATTTTATGCCCAGGACACAAATACCACGGATTGGCCCATATATACTGCATTTCAATTCTATTTCAACAAAAAAAATACATGTATCACAGATTACCAAGCTTTTAAACACATACAAGATCTATAAATTAAAAAAAAATATTTCATTCAAAATGAATATTTGGCATCACTGTGCCTTATTAAACATGGCTACCGATACATAGTAGTGTATTAGTATTGTAATTATCTTTTCAATGGGATAATGTTGACCTTATAGGACAATATAACTTCTTAAAATTTGAACATCAGTATTAATTAAGTGGCAGCATCAAAATAAGAATATCATCTGCTCTATAGTCCTGTTGTATACAATAAAATAATTACATATGCTATACTAAAATATTAATTTTTGTATAGAAAAAAATCTGAAAGTTTGATCATTTTTGCACATTGAAAAGATTATCTCTTAGGGTGTACAGCGGCTTATTACAAAGGCCTGTAAAGAACTGGCCAATTGGATCATCTCTGGCTGTAATTTTGAAAAAAAAAGTTATTTTTGTATTTCAAAGAATTTCCACGTTTTAGTTTCTCTAATTTTTATCAATTATTATCATTCATTCATTCATCATCAACACTAAACTTGTTAAGTAAATAAAACTTCGGACACCATATAAGTCCCTACAATTACCTCTGATGGTTTATGACCCTAAAAATGTTTCTATTGTCTTGGTTTTGAAATTTTGTACGTCATTAAAATAAAAATATTTCATTTCCCAGCAAACGACATTTTCGCAAACAACCGGCGTCAAAAAGTGAAATGTTGGTTATCGATGTTGTTTTCTGTTGACCAGGTCACTGAAACCAAAGCACATAGGTTTACTAATAAATTAAACTTTGTTAAGGATTTATATTATATTATGACTACTGATCAATAATGAATAATATTTAAGGTTTCGGATGAACTGTCTTAAGTGGCTTAAAAAAAACATTTTCTTCCCAATCTCCCATTGATGAATTGGAATGTGGCCTCTCCTGAAGATTGGTTAATAAAAAGTATCGAATAAAAGTATATTGCTCTTTTTAACGGAAAGTTTGAGTTCTGTATTAGCAAGGAGTTATCTCCGGTTATCTCCCTGTATTAGTAACGATAACAAGTCGATATGGACGGATAGAACGAGTAACTCTGCTGTATATCATAAAATAATTATGTCTTTGGTAAGACTGCAACATTTGCATGAACATTAACTTTGCTTCGCTTCCACAAAGACGATTCAAATTACAGCCACCGTGAATTGATAACCTGTGAATTCGGTACAGTAATTAACAAAGGGATTTACAAATGCAAATTCAGTGATAGGAGATTAACTTTTTGCAACAAATCCTACTGCATGATGTATTAAGGGGCTCGCATTGTAGAAAAACCACCCACGCACTGTTGTTGTAAAGGAACATTTTCTTCGTGTTAAACATTGAATTGTCCAATGCAGATAAAAACAATTCAAATGCAAGTGTTGTGGTAAGTGACAGGACCCTCACTGGAAGTGCCATTACTGTCATGAGAGGTTAAAGATGGAAAGTATGTATACACGACATGAAAGGATCCACTCTGGAGAGAAACCATTCAAATGCTGATATTGTGAAAAAAAAATTTGGTCAAACAAGCAACTGCTTATCACATGAAAGGACCCACACTGGTGAAAAGCCATTCAAATGCCAGTACTGTAAAAAGATTTTTAGTGCAAACAGTAGCTGCATAAGACATGAAAGAACCCACACCGGAGAAAAGCCATTCAAATGCCAATATTGTCGAAAGGGTTTTAGTGAAAAACATAAACGTACAGAGCATGGAAGGAACCACACTGGTAAAAAAAACACTCAAATGCCTGTATTGTAAAAAGAGTTTTAGTACAAAAAGGGACTGTTTAATACATGAAAGGATCCACACTGGTGAAAGACCATTCAAATGCCAGTATTGTGAAAAGAGTTTTAGAACAAAAGGTACTTGTGTATCACATGAAAAGATCCACACTGGTGAAAAACCATTCAAATGCCAGTATTGTGAAAAGAGTTTTAGTACAAATAGTAACTGTACAGTGCATGAAAGGACCCATACTGGTGAAAAACCATTTAAATGCCAGTATTGTGAAAAGAGTTTTAGTTCAAAAGATACTTGTTTATCACATGAAAGGACCCACACTGGTGAAAAACCATTCAAATGCCAGTATTGTGAAAAGAGTTTTATTACAAAAGGTGCTTGTTTATCACATGAAAAGATCCACACTGGTGAAAAACCATTCAAATGCCAGTATTGCGAAAAGAGTTTTAGAAGAAAAAGTAGCCATAGAATACATGAAATGATCCACACTGGAGTAAATTCATTCAAATGCCAGTATTGTGAAAAGAGTTTTAGTACAGACAGTAGCTGTATAATACATGAAAGGAACCACACTAGAGAAAAACTATTTAAATGCCAGTATTGTGAAAAGAGTTTTAGTACAAACAGTAGATATATAATACATGAAAGGACCCACACTGGTGTTAAACCATTCAAATGCCAATACTGTAGAAAGATTTTTAGTACAAAAAGCTACTGTACAGTGCATGAAAGAACCCACACTGGAGAAAAGCCATTTAAATGCAAATATTGTGGAAAGGGTTTTATTGAAAAACATAAACGTACAGAGCATGAAAGGAACCACACTGGTAAAAAAACACTCAAATGCCTGTATTGTGAAAAGAGTTTTAGTACAAAAAGTAACTGTTTAACACATGAAAGGATCCACACTGGTGAAAGACCATTCAAATGCCAGTACTGTAAAAAGATTTTTCTTACAAAAAGTGAATGCACAAGACATGAAAGAACTCACATTGGAGAAAAACCATTTAAATGCCAATATTGTGAAAAGAGTTTTTTTGAAAAGCGTAAATGTACACTGCATGAAAGGACCCACACTGGTGAAAAACCATTCAAATGCCAGTATTGTGAAAAGAGTTTTAATGCAAAAAGCTACTGTATAGCACATGAAAGGACCCACACTGGTGAAAAACCATTCAAATGCCAGCATTGTGAAAAGAGTTTTAGTACAAAAGGTTCTTTGATATCACATGAAAAGATCCACACTGGTGAAAAACCATTCAAATGCCAGTATTGTGAAAAGAGTTTTTATACAAAGTATAATTGTACACTGCATGAAAGGACCCACACTGGTGAAAAACCATTCAAATGCCAGTATTGTAAAAAGAACTTTAATTTAAAAGGTAACTGTTTAAGACATGAAAGAAGGATCCACACTGGTGAAAAGCCATTCAACTGCCAGTATTACGAAAAGAACTTTAGTTTTAAAAATACTTGTACACAACATGAAAGAGGGATCCACCCCAGCTTTTCAGTTCAGTCTATCAAGAAAGAACTTCAAGGTGAGAATATTTCACCCATGCTTTCACCGCAGTCTGTCAAAAATGAAGATTCTGCTTTGGGGATGAAAGAAGAAAGTAATTTCTGTACTGATGCTGTAGTCAGAAGGGAGTTTGATGATAACATTGACCCAAAAGTAAGGCCTGATATATATCCTGTTGCATTGTTTAGAAATGTATTTGCAGATTCTGGTGTATAATGTCTTCTTTAAGACATGGAATGATCTCTAAGACCCCATTCCCACAGATTGTAGATCGATCTATCCCGCAGGGAGTCTCTCTAGATTACTGTCAGATTAGCTGGCTTTAATGTCTGTCCCGCCTACTAAAAGCTGTAAGGGGGTGATTAACTTCCGTGCATGGTCGGCTGACAGCAATTGAGCTTGAACCCCCAGAGAGTTAGGTCGCTCTGAGACTGGGTTCCCATATCTAGATCAAACTTATAGGATTGATCCATCTGAAAGGTTTTTTTTTTTTTTGCTAAATTGCTTTCAGCTTAAGGGGCTTAGATGTCTGGCATGCCTACTGAAGCTGCTAAACGATAATAAATTACCCCCTAGCTGCTTTAGTAGGCATGACAGACATCTAACCCGCATAAGTTGATTGTAATTTAGCAAAATCCCCTCGGATATAGATTGATCCACACTAAGTATGATAGGGTATGGAAATGGTGCCGTAGGGACAATTCAGAATGAGAAGAGCAGGTTGCTAGCTGGTCAACAGCCTAAATTTAAATGAAATTAAAATTTCATTTGAAACCAAACAACAAGAGGTGACTGTGAATTTTTATTCTGGTTTTAATTCTTGTTAAAAGAAAGTAACTTATTTTTTATTTTTATGTATTGTGGTACACATAAATCTTGCCAGTCCACAGATTTTTAGTGACGGTCAGGACCAGTGGGTCCTACAGTTTCCCCATGTCTGTTAGCCTTTCTTTCATTTAAGTCTGCCATATTTAGGCCATGGACCAGCTATCAACCAGCTCTTCTCATTCTGAATGGACCCTTAGACATCTGAGATGCACCTAAGGCTGCGTTCACATGAAAAATCTATTTTCTAAAAATCTATTTGCGGTAACTTGTGATCACGGTCTGTGCCCTGAGTAATTGCTGGCAGCGCCATGAATTAATTACAGCTTTGAAAGAAACTTGCTTGTGCTGCCCGTAATAACACCGTGAGGTATTAAGGGCACAGACTGTGATCACAAGATACCACAAATAGATTTTCAGAAAATAGATTTTTCATGTGAATGTAACGCAACTTGTTACTTGTGACTTAGAAGGAGGCTCTAACATGAAGAATAAGGAATGTCTTGCAAATCTATTATTTCAAAGTAAAAAGAACTATACTAGTTATGTTTAGATTTATGCAAGTTGTAAAAGTGTTGTTTAGAAAGGATATCATTTAATTTGTATTTTGATCTTGTTTCTTATGATGACATGTCATGTATAGGATTTGTGTATTTATCGACTAACATAATTCAAATGATCAGTCTCATATAATTATTTTCATACTATTAATATGATAATAAAATGAATTGATTTTGCTGATAAATCTTTGTGTTAGAAAACCTTCAAATATATGACTGTTTGGAATGGATTGTTAGTTTGATCTGTTGCCTTTTAGATGTTGCAAAAGACTTTGAATAGGAATTGATAAAATAAAAGAAATGTGTTTCGTAACAATTGCAGCATTGATTTCACTTTGAGGTTAAACTCTGTCCACCACCAGCAGACCCCAAACCCCACTTAAGGGGGGAGATAAAGAGAGTTGGCTTGCATTGCAGACCCCCCTTCAAATAATCCTTCACCTGCCCCCGAGTTCATAAAAAGCATGCTGCCACACAGTTGAGGAATTGGTTTTTTTAGTATATATACACCTGTATATACTCTCATATATATATATATATATATATATATATATATATATATATATATATATATATATTTATATTCTCTTAATTTGAACTGTATG